GAAAGAAACTCACAACACACCAGGTTGTAGAGAGGGGTGTGTGTGTGTGTGTGTGTGTGTGTGTGTGGGTGGGGGGGGGGGGGGGTGTTCAATCATGCCACGAGCTGCTAAAGTGTCCGGTTCACGGGGCGTGAAGGCTTTCATTACGCACGGGATTAGGGGTCAATTTGCGCACAGTGGGTGAGGAATTGGCTCTTAGTTCAGACAGGCTGACATRAGATGAGCTGATCACGCTTGGAAAGGAGCAGGAATATGGGAAAGGGATGTCATAAACAAATACTAACCAGGAGATACATCCAAAATGTTTCAGTTTTTCTTAAAAAAAAAACACACAAAATGTGATTGTGTGTTCAGGTTGGAAACTTACTGACCATCAGTTTCCCCGAACACACACTCGGCTGCAGACAGGGAGAGTCCTGACTGCTGCTTTTTGTGTTTGGGAGAAGTTTTTGTGTGGGTGTGTGGGGGGGGTGACAGCTTCGAGGGGAGCGCTCCCCATCTCGACAGCTGTCTCCCTGGCTCCAGTCCAGTTTTGGGACGGTGCCCGCCTGCTCCGAAACCTCTCCCGTCCAGACACGACCGCTCCGCTTCTTTCGTTTTGTTCCTAAAAGGTCACATCCAAACCTCAGCCTCCACATGTGGCGGAGTCAGACCAGCCCCCTCCCTCACGCAGCCAGCTGTGCCCAGCTTTGTTTTGATGTGTGTGTGTGTATGTGTGTGTGTTGAGGCAGCATCTTGGCGCGCTGCGTGGTCTCTGAAGTGGCTTCCTGTAAGCTGTAAAAGGCCACACGCTTTCAGATGCTCCTGACCGACGATACGAGTCATTATCAGGAAAGTATTTTAACTGGGCCTCGCTCTCTGATCACCACCGCCACCCTTATGATGATAAGACTCTTAGATTGGGGCGGGGCATAAGTTCTAACATCAAAGGGTGGACGTCTCACCTTGCAGAAGGTTCGTAAACACTTTAAAAGGTATCCACGATTAGTTGTAACATTAGACTTTATTTGATAAACATATATTTTAACTGTAAAATAAACACTGTAGGATGTTTAGTTTTGCAAATTTTTTAAAATATATTTTAACACAGACRGGCCCATTTTATTTACACGCAAAGCAATCTGGGTAAATGATGACGTGGATAGGTCCTCGGTGCGAGGCTGCTAGCTAGCTATATCCACCCTGAAGGTTAATCTTGGACAATATCTGATGATCGACTCTTTTAAATGAAACCAGAGAGCGTTGACAGAGAAGAGAAGGTAGAAATGACTCAGCCTGTAGCTAAAGGCTAAAACAAGCGCAACACCAGCTAAAGGCTAAAACAAGCGCAACACCAGCTAAAGGCTAAAAACAAACACAACACC